TAAAAGAGATCAGAATTACTTTGAAAATTCCAGTCTCATATCCAGTTTATCCACTCATCACCTCTTTGTTTGTAGCACCAGCCAAGTCTGGGCTGGAGGGATCTGATTTCTCCCATGTTTGGTTCTTAGACTTCTTTTGGCTTTTACCAACTGCTATATATCCCGTGACCTCATACTGCTCGATTCTCTTGGGTGGGTACCGACAAGATGGGTCAGGCTCCAGTGGGCTCCGCTGTCCAGTTCTCTCCCTCTGATCACATAGGCATAGATGGCAGGCAGACCACCAAGTCCATTGCGTTTCCTGTGCACCCAGGAAACAGTCTAGTCTGCCTTCGTTCAAGCCCCCCCCCAGTGGCTACCATTGGTTCTACTGTGAACACTTCTCAGTGACACAAGGGAAGCAAAGACAGTACTGTGACCCCAATTAGTGATGTAACACTTCTCCATGGATTTTTTTTTTTTTTTCATCTCACAATTACTGTTTACTCAGGACTGGAAAAGGCCTATGGTGTAATGTGACAGGGCTGGCCCAGCCTTTATTTTTTATTTTTTATTTTTTATTTTTTATTTCTGGCTCAGCCTTTAATAGGATGTGCCTGGTTTCCTTGATCGCCTTTTTTGAATGATATATCTTAACCTTGAATGGTCACAGGAATCATCTGGAGCTTAAACAAACAAACAAACAAAAATCCTGATGACTGGATCTCAGGTTTAGAGATTTTGATATAATTAGTGTGGGGTAGCAGACTGGTTTAAAAACTCTGCAAGTGATTCTAGTGACAGCCTTTGCTAAGGAACACTGTTTAGAATGGGGTGGTACTTAACACTAATTACTTTCATCCATGGGCTTTTATCAGTCATTCTGAGACCCTTGGAAAAACCCCATTTAGTGTTATCCAGGGCATTAAAGAATAATGAAAAATCATTTTATTTACTTTCTCAACAAATGGGGTCTGTGAACCGGCAACTTTGGAATCACTTGAAGTGTTTGTTTAAAAGGCAAATTCCTAGGCCTTACTTTCACAACCTTCTGAATTAACCTCTCTAAAGTGGGGGTGGGAGAAGGGTCATAAACATACATTTTAGTAATTTCCCCCAGGCGACTGTTAAGCATATTCATGGTTTAGAGCCATTAATCTGTACCTGAGTTCTTCAACCCCGACTGCACATTAGAATCACATAGGGGCTATAAAGATACCTATGCCAAATAGACCAGTGGTTCTCAACCTTGGCTGCACTTCAGCATCACCTGGAGGCTTTTTGAAAGCCTCATACCCAGGCCTAACTCTGCCAATCACATCAGAATCTTCCAGGTGGGACGTAAGCATCTATGGTTTTTACAACTCCCTAAGTGATACCAATCTACGGCCAAGGTTGAGAACCAATATTCTTTTTTTTTTAAATTTTTTTTTTCAACGTTTATTTATTTTTGGGACAGAGAGAGACAGAGCACGAACGGGGCAGGGGCAGAGAGAGAGGGAGACACAGAATCGGAAACAGGCTCCAGGCTCTGAGCCATCAGCCCAGAGTGTGACGCGGGGCTCGAACTCACGGACCGCGAGATCGTGACCTGGCTGAAGTCGGACGCTCAACCGACTGCGCCACCCAGGCGCCCCGAGAACCAATATTCTTAAAAAAATTTTTTTTAATGTTTATTCATTTTTGAAAGACAGAGAGAGACAGAGCACAAGCAGGGGTGGGGCAGAGAGAGACGGGGGGCACAGAATCTGCAGCAGGCTCCAGGCTCTGAGCTGTCAGCACAGATCCTGATGCGGGGCTTGAACCCACAAACCGTGACATCATGACCTGAGCCAAAGTCGGATGCCTAACTGACTGAGCCACCCAGGCGCCCCTGAGAACCAATATTCTGAATATTCTGGTATAATCTGCGGGGTGGGGGGGAGGTGAGTCCCAGGCACTAATAATTTTTAAATGTACCTCAGATGAATGTAATGTGCAGCCAAGGTTGAGAACTCCTGAATATTCCGCTTGGTGTCATTTTCAGCTTTTCTGAACTTCCCTCAGTGTGGTTACTCAGTGCCCTTTAGCCTACAGATGCAGGCTTGCCTCCTTCCCCACACCAGATCCATGCCAGTCTTGACGAAGGTTCATAGTGATCTGGAGGTTTAGTCTCATGAGAAGTTATGTGTCCACCTAGACATAAACCCCTAACCCTTTGAGTTAGTTTCATTAATTAATCTATTGCTCATTCTGTAAGTGTGTATCAAACACCTAATATTTGTCTAGTACTCTGCATTGAACAATGGATACCATGACAAATAAGATATTGTTCCTGGAATCTCAAGAAGCTTATAGATTTGCAAGGATAAAGGGGCGTGTATACATGCAAACAGAGGTGTAGTTTGAGTAGCATTTATTACAGTGGCTGAATGAAAAGAGAAATGTAGAACATAGACATAGACCTGTCTAAGGAGATGCTATTTAAGCCAAGTCTTCCATACATGATTTAAAACACCTTCCATGATATGATATCTCTCTACTTCATCTCTTGCTACTCTTACTCTGGTTCCAATTTCAGCCTGCCTAATTCTTTTCAGTTCTCTGAATGCCCCACACTCTCTTATAAGACTTCAACCTGCATTTATTTGCCTAGAACACTTCCCATTTTCCCCACCTGCACCTCCTACCTAGGATTCTGCTTAGCTGTTACTTCCACGAAGAGATCCTTCCTGACCTCCTGAGCTATGATAAATGTCTTTGTTATACATTCATCCACTAACCTCAAGCAATTCTTTTATAGGACAAGCCCATTTTATTGCATGTCTGTGACTCCTCCCCCCCCCCCCCCCCCCCCCCCCCCGCAAACCTATAAATTTCATGCAAGTGACAGCAACCAGCTATCCCCTTCACCACTATGTCCCATGCATACTGCAGTGTCTGGCCTTATTGGATGAATGAATTAACTGCATTCCAGGAATAAGGGATGATATGTGCAAAGCCATATAGGTATGGAAATCTGTGGCATGTCCTAGAATAAAAAATATTTTGGATGGCCAAAGTATAGAATGGGCAGGAGGAGGTTTCTAGAGATGAGTCTGGAGAGGATGGTTATTAAGGGCCCTGTATGTAACCCTAAATGATCTGAACTTCACCCTGTAGGCAGTGGGAAGTCAGAGGTTTTATGTGGCGGAGCATAATAGTGAGGTTTATCATTCAGGATAATCACTCTGGTAGCAAGGTGGAGGATGGAATGAACAAAAAAAAGGCTAATTTAAAAAACAGTTGGGAGATGTTCCAGTAATACAGGTGAAAAATAATAAAGGCTTTTCTGAAGTAATCAAGCGAAAGGGCTCCATTCAAAACGTACATTTCAGATAGAATATACAGCTCTTACTGACTAACTGCATGTGGGGATGAATGTGAAAGATGATGTTTAGCTTGGAGGACAGGCTTGGTAGGAATGCTATGCATGGAATTATGGAACAAAGAAAGAGAAGAACTAGTTTCAGGAAAAAAATTAATGAGCTCAGTTTGTAACAGTTGAGAGTTCCACATACCTGTAGACATCCATGTAGTCTTTTGTGTAGTTAAAGATGCATACGTTCTTAGCTTGGTAACTTATTGATTGTGGATACAGTTGGTATTGTCTAATTGACTACGTTGACTTCCAATTTATGCACAAAAAGACAAACTTTTCAGACTGGCAGTGTTGTGTTGATTTCATGATTTTTGCTTCATTGGGCCACAATTAACAATCAGTTGGCAATACTTCAAGGGAGAGTCTCCATTAAAGTCACTCACTAGTTATTTTCTTTGATAGAGACATATATGTATGCCAATCCCACCCAAATTCTGAGGAGGTAATGATTTTATTATAGGTAACAATGCTGTTATATTTTTTTTCATTTGATTGTGAGTTCAGAAAGGAAGTATGTCTTAACTCTTCCAGTTAAACTTAGTGCCAAGTCTAATGGGAAGAGAAATTAGTGGCTGGCTGGCTGGCTGGCTGGCTGGCTGGATGAATTTATAATCTGGCAGGGATATGGGATGCTTTCTGGAGCTAATCACTTAGAAACTGAAAACCTTCCATCTTAAACATAAATGCCTAAGTGACTGCACTGAGTTATTAACTACAACAGATAGAAGAGGTCACCGTAAGCTATTTTTAAAATGTCCTTTCATCGTATCATTTTCTCTAGGCACTACAAAACCATCCTGGGAATTTTAAAGCTATGGGTATAAAAGACAATGTTTCTTGATACATTAACCTTTGATATTGTCCAGCAAAAGATGAGCCTTTAACTTATTATTGAATTTTTTTTGCTTGGTACTGTTCTTAGAAGCTGGTAGGTGGGTACACAATCAGATTATTTTAGGAAAATAACCTTATGGACCATATGAAGAGGCTGGAGAAGAAATGACTCTATTTGGATAGAGGGGAGATGATGATAAGGGCTTGGAATAATAATAGCCATATGGAGAAAGCCCATTCATTCATAAATTTATTCATTCCTTCCTTCATTCATTCATCAAATATTTATTCACTGTATTATACTATGGGGATGCCAAGGTGACCCAACTTAGATAGAGTTTGGGTAAGAGTTTAAACTGTAAGAGTTTATAGATAAACATTTGTTATATTAATAAATGTAAAATTGCAGATGTGATAAATGTGGTATGGGAAAGGAAAAGTCACACTGAAAACAACATCTCAGAGGCAAAATTGACAGGCTTTCTTTGGTTATTGGGGTATCAATGAAAGACACGCTACCTCTTCTTTCCTGAAATAATATTCAAACTGATTTGCGTGACAGAGAACATATATGAAATGCCATTAAAGAAGGTGTATTCAGTGACTAATTGTGTAGAACAAATTAAAATGACTTTTTATCAAAAGATGAGATCAATAAGCTATGAATTGTAAGTTCTGATTTTGCAATTTATTCCACTTACTCATTACACCATCCCATTGGAATGATGGTACTTTGCTGATAAGAGACAGTTGACTCTAGATCCCTCTATTTTGATTTTTTTTTTAGATGTCGCCAGAGCAATTGAATTACTGGAAAAACTACAGGAATCTGGAGAAGTACCAGTGCACAAGCTACAATCCCTCAAAAAAGTGCTTCAGAGTGAGTTTTGTACTGCTATTCGAGAGGTATGACACTAAAATTTTAATAACGATATTTAGCTATATGTCTCCTGAATAGAAAAGATGTCTTTTCCACACAAACAGTTGAAATAGTTAAGATTGGAACTACATCTTAGCTTTCTGTTTTTAGCTGCTTGGACAGATGATAAAATATAATTTAGTCTGCTAAATTCATAAATTAGATCCAGTCAGCATTTATACAGTCATATAAAACCAAATGTTGACTTTATGGTACCAATGAGGTCACTGCCTCAGCAGGTAGCTGTTACTTACTTGCAGTCTAAGTTATTTAGTGGTCACATGAAGTCATATGGATACTCAGTTCAAAATAGTCATAATTAGTGGGGGATTGTGCTTTTCTTAAAACAACATTCAACTGAACCTTAGATAAATCTGGAAGAGTAACCTCCTACTGACTAATGTTACAGTTATCCAAACATTACTGTCTAGTGCAATAATGGAAAATCTCTGAACAGACTGATATGCCCCTCTAACAAATCTTCGCGATGCTTTCCTTGCTAGAGATTTTAAGAAGCCTAACATAAAACAAGTGTGTAGAAATGACTGTTTGAATCTTGTATTGACTTGTGGTGGAACTGACTAGTCCATTAATTAATTTAATTGTTAAAATAAAGTTCATTCAAGATGTATATACCATATTGTTTCTTGAATAAAATAATATTAAGTCCATCATTTCTTCCCCACCAGGTACAAAGTAGTAATTCATTAGTTAGGACCTGAAGTCCATAACTCCAGCATATTTGCTCTGCTAGAAGTCCCCACTAATGAATTATTTACTGTCATCTCCCAAACCAGTTGAACCCAGTGACTTTCTGGAGAGTTTGTTGTAGCAGAGGACATACACTTGTCAAGGAATACTTGTTACCAACTTCCTTTCCTTTTTGCAACTCTACCTGTGGCCAATGCATATATTTTTACCTCAACAATGCTAATATATGAGTAGTCACTACATAGGAAAGACCCAGGTGACTAAGACAGAGACATACAAAACTTCTCTCACTATAGATTTAAACTGTAGCCTATCTAGTGAGGTACAGTTTAGATTTTGCTGAGATTTGATTTAGACTGTGCTTGTGCTAAATCTTTATCAGGTGAAGTTGTTCACTATTTGATTTTTGTTTATGATGAACACAGCTTAAGTAAATAACCATAATTGTGTCTCCAAATTCTAACCTATGAATTTAACCAAAGGCTGAAAGGAAATTTCGGAAAGTGTATGAGTTCTCGGCCACTGACTGCTCAGTGGGAAAGGTATAGATATGTGGAAACCTCATGGGCCTCTTTCAGGTCAATTCCTATAGTCACTCTGTAGATCAAGGTTAAATCCCCTACACGCTCTTTTCTTCCTTCACAGAGTGCTTGCTACTCCCCTGAGATTTGATGGCCGACTTTTCATTTTTAGATATTCTATCATCTCTTTTACTTTCCACAGAACTAACTAAAGGATAGGACACATCAAATGTGTATCTCTGCTAAGTGGGAATTTGGCATGTGAGCAATGCGAAGTCTTTACCTTTGTGGAATTTACATTCCAGTGAGAAAACTATGATAAATAAATATGCAATACAATGTCAAAGGGTGACAAAGCTATGGAAATAAAAGAAGCAGGAGTAGGGGAAGTAGGAATAAAGCTCTATTAAGTTAGGGTGGTAGGAAAATAAACCTAACTGAAGTAATGGAATAGGTCACAAGTATCAGTGGGATACAGTGTTCCAGGTGGAAGAAACCAGAAGTACAAAAATCCAGAGCCAAGAATGATCTTAGTCCATGGAAGGAAGACCCCAAAAGCCAGAATATATGCAGTGAAATAAGCTAGGTAGGCTTCCCAGAGGCAGCCAGAGAGCAGATCACATGAGGCCTTGCATGCCGTTGTTAGGAGATTGGATTTCATTCTAAGCCTGATAGAAAGCCCTTGGAGAATTTTGCCTTGACCTGATTAGAGTTTTAAAAGGTCTTTCTGAATGCTGTGAGAATACAAGTGTGTGGGCAAGAGAGGAAACAAGAGAGTCCAGTAACAAAGTGATGAGTAGATCAAGTGAGAGATGTGATGATGGTTGCTTGTGTGATAACAGTTTAAGCTGTGGGAAGTCTTCAGGTTCAATGTGTGTTTTTTGAGAGTAAAGTCAACAGGCATTGTTGATGCATTGGATGTATGGATGAGAGAGCAAGTCTCAATCGCCTTTTAGGTTTGGGCTTGAACAATTGGATGGATGGTTACATAGGAAATAGAATCTTTGCATTTGGACCAAGTTTGGAGAAGACTGTCCAAGAATTCTGTTATGGACAAAGCAAGTTGATGATGCTTTTCTGACATCCATGTAGAGAGTCTAACAAGCATGTAAGTCTGAAGCTTGGGGGAGAAGTTGGGTCTGGAGATATAAATGTGGTATAGATATCTGTTCAAATAAATGCACAGACCTTTTTCTTTAAAGAGTTTACTAACAAAAAAGAGAATAAGAGTAAAATAGAAAAGAAATAAGACCTTGTATAGGCATTATAAATATATCTTTCAAACCCAGTTTGTGGTAAAGTGTCCTATGTACATCATTAGTGGTCCATGGAAATCTATAACTGAATTATGGGCAGTCCAATACTTTCAGAGGGAAAAAAATCATATAATTTTTCTGCTTTACATTTTATAAATTTGGACTAGCAAGATTAATTTTAGATTCATACTAATGCCCTTATAATAATTTTGTCCTTTAAGGGCAATGCATGTTGTACAGATATTATTTTGATCAATTCATCTTGACCCACATTTTACACTAGTTTTATGATATTATTCATATTTAAGTTTGGAGTGTTCCTCATTATTCCCGTTATATCACTTTACATTAACTACAGGAAGTAATGATAAAAATAGCAATAGGTATTCAATAATTCTGAATCATAGAATAATATTGTATACCTATCTAGTGAAAAGTTCTTCAATAAAAACATAAAATATGAACCCATGTTGCCAGACAGGTGACTGCACAAGCCGGTAAAGAAAAGTGCAGCTGGGAAGTATGGCAATATACAGCAATAAATATCTGAAAATTAAATTTTCTTGAGTCAAGAATCCTTTCCCTCCTGGTCTCTTGGGTACTGACTGTTCTACTGGCATGAAACCTTTGAAGGTTTAGTTTCCTATTCAAGTTATGCTTAGAATCTCGATGGTTAAATTATTTGAGTTTTTTCAGGAATATTTGTTAATTCATACTTTCCAGTGTGACAGTTATTAATTTTGTCATGACAGGTAGAGAAAGGACAAAGAACTACATGGGCGTCATTCTTAGTTGCATTCACCAGAGCAAAAACAGATAAAGGTCATTGTCAACAAGTCTGTGAAACCCAAATTATGCAAAAAAAAAAAAATAAAAAAGGGAGAGAATCAGTTGCCAACTCTTTAAATTGCCATACACCTTACACTAGCGTAACAGTAGTTATAGTTACATGTTGAGGCAATCCCGTGTTTTGCTTTACATTTGGATGAAACCACTGAATCAGCTCTTGGCCTATGGGTAGCACTTATATGGGAAGAATGGTTTAATGAAATTTTACTTTGTTTTTTACTGAAAATGAATGATTAAAAGAGATTAGATGTTTTCTCTACTTAATTATTCTTCTGTAATCTGTAATAAAGATAGAAAAAATCACGTTGAGACCAGTACTGAAACAAGACCATTTATGTACCCAACTAACATTGATGTATTAATAAACGAGTTTCATTTGAATGCCAATCCACATACAGCTGTAGCCATAGAATAAAGGTAGTAGATGGCACTACTTACCTTGATATTTTATTTTCTGGTTGAAGGGTCTCAAAGGACCTGATTAATAGTTAAATTGCACCATTCTGTGCAAGTAATTTTGGGGTACATGGCGATAAATGGACTGACACATGGTGTTCCTTTTCCAATAGTGAGAGGTACCAGCTGACAAGAGAAAGTTCACAGAACTTTTTGAATGAGAGATGAAATAAAAAAACTTTATGGTAGTGATAGTCCCAGTAAGGGCCATTTCTGGGCCTTTTTAAGTGTCTTTTTAAGTGTCTTCTTCAAGTTTTTGTTCATCACTGTATTATTTAGGTTGAACGACCTAAATTTATAAATTGAAATGTAAGGAAATACATGGGTTGAAATATAAGGATTGTAAAATGTTGGCTTTGGTAAGAGAATTTCCTATGAGACTTGAATGGTGAATTTGAATTGAATTTAAATAGTTCGATTGCCAAGCGATGAACTTTTTCCTGACACTTCATATTCTTCATGCCTCAGAGAAACAAATCAATAGTATATGAGTGGTTATATTTTAAGAGGACATCCCATTTCTGCAACACAGTTCAAAGAAATTCTTTCTGAAACTAAAATAATAAAAAATAAACAGACTTAATCTATTTACCATCACCATCTTCCAAGTTTTACAACATTCAGGCTTCCTGCTTTCCAGGGGAATGTGCTCATCGATCTGGTGTTTGATGTGCTGCTGAGAGTGGTCTGTGGTGAGGACTTGCTCCCGCATTTATGGCTGTCCTATGCATTTTTGAACCAAAAACGCAGAACCAAATGACACAGTCGCCAAAAACTGCCTTCTTTGGCCAACTGCCAGATGCTGTGTGTTAGTATTTTCTAATGTAGTAGAATTGTAGATTAAGAAAATAAACCAATTCCATATGGAATCATTCTGATAGTCAGGATTGTCGGAAGACATTCTAGTTCTCTTCTTCTCAGCACATGTTACAACTGGATTTCCCCATCCTCTTTAAGGCGAGATGTGGTTGATGCCTTGGCTAAGGAAGTGTGAATGGAAATGGTGTGGGCCACTTCCTTGGTGAAACCTTTGAGTCAGTGCATGGTATGTTGTGTTCCTTGTCCTTTGCTATGCGACTAGTGATGTTTTTAGTTGGTGAATGATCAATCAGTCTGGGTTGCAGGGTGAGGAAATGAGAAATACAGGCTCTGCGAACCCTTTACGAACAGGTAGCCTGAGCAAGAAATACACCT